ACATTCCTTCTACCCATGCTGAGAGGCCATCTTTTGCCACCTTTTCAATCACCTCTCTTTATGCTAATGAACATGTTTGTCATGTGGATGTAGTGTGAACAATGACATTAAAGTGATTGTTCATAATGATTGTGCTCTAAAAAATGCCTAAAGATATTTTTTTTTGTACCAGAGACTGAACCCAGGCTCACTTAACAACTGAGACACATCCCAGCCATTTTTCAGAAAATATTTTATTTAGACCCAGGACCTTGCTGAGTTGCTTAGGGCCTTGCTAAGTTACTGACGGAGGCTTTATACTCACCGTCCTCCTGCCTCAGCCTCCAAGCAGCTGGAATTATAGGAATGTGCCACTATGGCAGGCTATGAAGGAACATTCTTCTTTCCATTCTGTCAAAGAGCAGTCAGGCTTGATCACTGTGTAACCCCAATTCAACTCTTTCTTGAAAAAACCTGCTAGACTAAGCATCTTCCTCTAGAAGGAGGAAGGAGGAGGCGATCTTACCTTAGGAAGATGCACATCTGTGAATTGAGGTGGTCTCCTAAAGCACAGAGTTTAGAGGAAAATGGGACTTGTGACCTGTGGACAAGCAAACATACCCTGATGTAAGTTCCATGGGAGGGTCCTCTACAGCAATCTGGACCCCAGTTTCTTCTCCAGAATTCACATTCTGTCTTCCCAGAGGCATTCCTAATCCTCAGTGAGCACACTCTTTGTCACACAATTCTTTCTTTGAACTTATTTGAAAAGTTGATCATCTTCTCCTGATCCACTTTTGTCTCATTCAGTTTTATGACCAGATAAAAATGTAATGATTTCAATGGTTACATTTTTAAAAACCTGAGTCCATATATGGTGCAGGATCACTCACTTGAGACAAACTTTCCTGAGGCAAGCAAAGAATCCTGAGAGTGTGGATATGGGCACCTGGTGAGGCAGAAGACACATTCCATCCTGAAGGAAGTCAGAGGACAAAGGAAAAGGCACCTACATTACCAAAAGCAATATGCAGGTTCAAAGTAATTCCCAGCAAAATTCCAATTACATTATTCAAAGAACTAGAAAAAATAGTTCTAAAATTCATTTGGAAAAAGACCCAGAATAGCCAAAGCAGTTCTAAGCAGTATGTCACCAGGCATCACAACACAATGCTGTTGGTAGACATCACACCACCTTAATTCAAATTCTATTACAGAGTTATACTAAAAAAAACTGCATGGTACTGGCATAAAACAGACACATAGACCAATGGTACAAAAAAGAAGGCACAGACACACACTGTAGGTCCTTGATAAAATAAAAAAAACCAGACAGCCTTTTTAACAAATGATGCTAAAAATACTGGTTATCCATATGTTGAAGATTGAAACTAGGAAAGGTAGCAGAATACAACAGTTACTAATAGGGCATTATGTAAAAATGTGGATGTGTAACTGATGTGATTCTGCAATCTGTATTTGGGGTAAAATTGGGAGTTCATAACCAACTTGAATCTAATGTATGAAATATGATATGCCAAGAGCTTTATAATGTTTTGAACAACCAATAAAAAAAAAGAAGATTGAAACTAGAATTATCCTGCATAAAAATGAACTCAAGAGAATAAAGATATAGGAATTAGAGCAGAATCTTTGCAAACACTAGAAAAAACATAAGATCAACACTCCAGTTATTAGTCACAGGCAATGACTTTGTTAATAGAATCCCTAAAGCTCAGGAAATAATGCCAAGAGTTAATAAATGGGATGACACCAACTTTAAAAGCTTCTGCACAGTAAGGGAAACAATTCAGATTGTGAAGAGAAAACCTACAGACTCTGCATCTGATAGAAGAAAAAGTTGGCTCCAATCTACATATTGTGTGGGTCGGGCTCAAAATTCCTTAATAGGACACCCATAGCACAAGAGTTAAAAACAAGAATCAACAAATGGGACTTACTCAAAATAAAAAGTTTTTTCTCAGCAAGAGAAACAATAAGAGAGGTAAATAGGGAGCCTACATCCTGGGAACAAATTTTTACTCCTCACACTTCAGATAGAGCCCTATTATGCAGAGTATACAAAGAACTCAAAAAGTTAAAAAATAAGGAAAAAATAACCCAATCAAAAAATGGGCCAAGGACATGAACAAACATTTCTCAGAGGAGGACATACAATCAATCAACAAGTACATGAAAAAAAGCTCACCATCTCTAGCAGTCAGAGAAATGCAAATCAAAACTACCTTAAGATACCATCTCACTCCAGTAAGATTGGCAGCCATTATGAAGTCAAACAACAACAAGTGCTGGCTAGGATGTGGGGAAAAGGGTATGCTTGTACATTGCTGGTGGGTCTGCAAATTGGTGTGGCCAATTTGGAAAGCAGTATGGAGATTCCTGGGAAAGCTGGGAATGGAACCACCATTTGACCCAGCTATTCCCCTTCTTGGACTATACCTAAGAGACCTAAGAAGAGCATACTACAGGGACAGAGCCACACCAATGTTTATAGAAGCACAATTCACAATAACTGGAATGTGGAACCAACCTAGATGCTCTTCAATAGATGGATGGATTAAAAAATGTGGCATTTATACACAATGGAGTATTACTCAGCACTAAAAAATGACAAAACCATGGCATTTGCAGGCAAATGGATGGCATTAGAGCAGATTATGCTAAGTGAAGCTAGCCAATCCCTAAAAAACAAATGCCAAATGTCTTCTTTGACATAAAGAGGGCAACTAAGAACAGAGCAGGGAGAAAGAGCATGAGAAGAAAATCATGATTAAACAGGGACGAGAGGTGGGAGGTAAAGGGAGAGAGAGGGGAAATTGCATGGTAATGGAAGGAGAACCTCATTTTTATACAAAATTACATATAAGAGCAAGTGAGAGGAAAGGGGAAAAAATGAGAGAGAAATGAATTACAGTAGATGGGGTTAAGAGAGAAGATGGAAGGGGAGGGGAGGGGAGGGGAGGGGGGATAGTAGAGGATAGGAAGGGCAGCAGAATACAACATATAATAGTTTGGCAGTATGTAAAAACATGGATGTGTAACCGATGTGATTCTGCAATCTGTATACAAGGTAAAAACAGGAGTTCATAATCTGCTTGAATCAAATGTATGAAATATGATATGTCAAGAGCTTTGTAATGTTTTGAACAACTAATAATAAAAATGTATTAATAAAAAAAGAAAGAAAGTTTTGTTAGCTACTATTCTGAGAGAGGATTAATAAGTAGACTACATAAAGAACTCAAAAATCTTTAAAATCAAAAAATCAGATTATTCAATGGGATAAATGGGCAATCAAACAAACAGACACTTCTAAAAAAAGAAATGGTCAACAAATATGTGAAAAAATTGTTTAAAATAATTACTGATTAGGGAAATAAAAATCATAGCTACACTGAAATTTCATCTTACATCAATCAGAATGGCAATCATCAAGAATACAAATAATAAATGCTGGAGAGGATGTGGAGAAAAAGTACATTTTACTCTGTTAGTGGGATGTTAAATAAGTACAACTAGAATAGAAATCAGTACGGTAATTCCTCAAAAGACTAGGCATGGAACCATCATAAGATCCCACTATGCCACTCCTCAGTATTTATCTTAAGGAATTAAATTCATAATATTATACTGATACATGCATACCCATATTTACAGCAGCACAATTTACAATAGCCAAACTAAGGAACCAGCCTTGGTGTCAATCAACAGGTGCATGAATGAAGCAAATGTGCTATATATACACAATAGAACTTTATTCAGCCATAGGAAATGAAAATATGTCCATTGTAGAAAAGTCGATGGAAGTAGAGACTGTCCTGTAAAATGAAATAAACCAAATTTAGAAGGTCAAAGTTATATGTTTTCTCTAACACAAAGAAGCTGGAGAGGAAATAAGGAAAACAAGTTAGGGTGGTGGGCTGAGGGGATGTAATGGAAAGCCAAGGTGGATCAGTAGAGGAAAAGGACAAGAGGTGGGAGGAGAGGAGGAAGGTAGGAAGTGTTGGGGAATAATAATGGCCAAGTTAATTTATATTTGTGCATGTGCAAATATATAAGAACAAATCCCATCGTTATGTACAACTATAATGCACCAATAAAACAATGAAAAAAAAAGGAAGAGGCACATGGGGTAGACTAGAAGGCACTGGGGGCAAGTAAGGAGCTAGAGATTGGGAGATGGGGTGGGACTGAGGACAGGAAGCACAGCAGATTATCCCGTTGCTTTCCCCTTCCTTTCCAGGAGTCTTATACCCTCCATGTGAGTCCAGCAGTGGGCAGTGAGAATCTGGAGTAAGAAGAGCAGAAACTGTAGTTTACCATGAATAGTAATGTGGTTCAAACAGGTGCTTCCCCTTATTATCTCTAAAGAAGTAGGGTGCCAATCCTAAACATGTTGAACTACAATGCACTATTTTCAAGAAGACTTATCAATAACAACAGGTCTCATCATCAAATACAGCCCCAAATTTTATCCCAAGGCAGAGGACTCAGCAATATTTAAACATACATCCTAACTGAAAGGGCCAAGAGAACTTGAGCAGATTGAGGAGCATGTGTGGTTCTCCCAGCCATATCTCTTCCTGAGAAGGGGAGAGAATGGATCTATCCACCATCCTGATACTATGTTCTCAGGATATCTCACACAGCACACTGAAGTCCTGGGAATCTTTATGTGACATTCACAGAACCTCCACTACTGGAAGGTTAGGGACATCCCAAAGGGGCTCTAATTCCTCAGCACTGCCACAAGCTCAGTCTATCCTGATTGAGAAAATAAATGCACATCAAACAATTTTAATCACCTCAGCTAAGCTTTTTGACCAGTAAGGCAGAGGTATCCAGAATCCAAGGTGTCTAAGTGTTGGGGGAGGAGAGGCAGGTGCTAGATTTGCATGGAAGCCCCTCCCTCCTCTGAGTCATGGGAGGGGATAAGAGAGGTCTGTGGAACCAGGCCCAGTGTTGGGGCTCAGGAGGCAGACTCTTCGGGCATCACCACCATGGCCTGGGCTCTGCTTGTCCTTACCCTCCTCACTCAGGGCACAGGTGATGCCCTAGGGAAGGGCCACAGGAACATCAGGACTAATGTATCTTCCCCAGCTCTGGTTCATCTAGGATCAGCAATAAAAAAAACAGAGTGTGTTTTTCTATATTTTCAGGTTCCTGGTCCCAGTCTGCTCTGACTCAACCTCCATCAGCCTCTGGGTCTATAGAACAGCCAGACACTATCTCCTGCACTGGAACCAGCAATGATATTGAGATTTGTAATAATGTCTCCTGGTATCGAAATCTCCCAGGAGCATCTCCCAAAACCCTGATTTATGGAGCCACTAATCATCCCTCCAGTGTACCTGATCACTCCTCTGGCTCCCAGTCTGGCAATTCAGCCTCTCTGACTATTTCTAGCCTTCAGGCTGAGGATGAGGCTTATTATTATTGCTGCTCATAAACAAGCAGCAGCAATTTACACAGTGCTCCAAGTTCATGGGGAATGGGTGCAAAATGTGACTTGAGCTCACATGTTCCTATTCACTCAGAAGTTTCTTCTTCAGCCCTGCACAGAGACAGCTTCAGGCAACAGGGCCATGAGAATCCAATTATCTCTCAGTTCCTCTTTTGTTCAACCATGAAGTGTAAAAGGAAACAAAATTTCCTACTCATTGTCTAAGGCCAATAATAATTTCTTCTTTGGTGTACGATATTTTACCTGAATATGTAACTCTTTGTAAATTCTTACATTAGGGACAGGACACTATGAAGATGCCCATTTGGTCCAGTGCCAGTAGTTCTGAGGGAAATCCTCAACCTTGGTACCTCCTATTCCCATATTATTTCCATATTATTCCCTGTACTGACCTGCATGGAATTACTCAGTCAACATCTCTGCTTTTGCTCTTCATGAGCACATCTGTTGGTGAAGTAACAACCACTGAGAAATTCTGAGGACATTACTGAGGAAATGAGGACAAACTGAAAGATGCTGTCTTCCTTTAAGTCTTAAACTTTTGTCATCAAAGTCAAGTGAGGTATACCGGACAGAATTTTAGTTGCAACTGTGTTCTTAGCCAGGATTACCTCTTCCCTCAGACACCTGAACATTTGTCCAGGATGGCCCTGTGTCTCTCAATAGAATAAGTTTTTTTTTTTTTTCCAAAGGATCCTTTTGCTCAAGAAGGAAGATATGTTGTGTGTGTATACCTTTTCTCCCTCTGTGCTTGCCAACAGTTCATGATTACAATGGTGACCCCAAACCAATTTCTACCTAGGACTCCTCTTAAAATGGGTAACTGAGTACATTTATACATAAAAAATATAGCCAAGAATTCTTTAAACAAGTGAATAAACATAGACTTGTTTCCCAAAAGGTGAGACACAGTAACTGATTCTACCTAGTTTACAGAACCTAAAGACATCCAAAGCTTGTTCCATTCCTTTACACTTGTCTGAGACAATGGACAGGCTTAAATCCCTCCAGTAAGTTCTAGAGCAGGAGAAAGTGAAGCAGAGAGTAAGAGCAGAAGACAGGTTGGCATTGATTTGGGACACAGGAGAGTGGCACAGACCTTCACTGATATGTGTTTCCTACTATGGGACTGGGTTGGAGAAAGTGGCCATTAGAGACCTAGTCTGTGGAGTAGATGCTTGCACATTGTCACTCAGACTAATAATCAAAGGCCACATATACCAAATCAAATAAGTCCTGTTAGACCCTTGCACAGGCAAACATCTCAGCTCCTCCCTCCTTTCTCTGGTATCCATCACCAGTTATTCCTGATGATCCAAGTATGGGTTCAGAACATGGAATGGATCAAGATGAACCAAGTCTTCTTTCTTCAAGTATTGGGGCATGCATATAGAACAATGAAATATTTTTAAAAGATTAATTTTAATCAGTGCACTGGAAAAAATGACAAAGACTGATGAGGATACTTCATAAGAGGATCTCATTTAGGAAAGATTTTGGGGCACTTTTCTGGCCACTAACACAGGGAAGCAGCTATGCCTTTGATGATAAAGTCATGCACATCGAGACTCAGATATGAGCCTGAGTCATGGGTTAAGACAGGAAGGGCCCAGGAATCCTTAGAATATAAAAGCACATAAAGGAAATCTTAAAGGCTGGATCAGAGATAAGAGTGTATGGGCAGAGACAGAGGGCTAAGTAGTGGGGACAGGGGCTCCTGTAGGTAAGGAGAATAGAACAGGAATCTGATTAAATCTGAATACAGAAACAGGCCAATAAGTTTTCTTCTATTGGTTCTCCATGAGCAACTAATGCTGTCAAGGTCTCTATAGTTGTCACCTAGAGAATAGAGTGTATCCTGCAAAGTGATAGGTGGATCAGCTGTGAGGTGATCACTGATCTCTGGTCCATCTCACAGGACTTGTTGAATTTGGTGTATGTGGCCTTTGCTTATTAGTCTGTGTGACAACGTGCAAGCTTCTTACATGCAAGACCTGAACAAAGAAGTCCTTTTTGATTAAAATAATAACAAATTACAACTTTCCCCCTCTGTGTTTTATATGAGGGGACAGATTATTTGCTATGACTTGTAGATCAGTACTCTTTTGTTCTTCGATATCAATCTTCTTTTAATCTCTCTAACAGGTTTCCCCTCTGCTGCTGTTGCTTTGTGGTTTACTCTATCTCCTGGTTCCTTGCTATAACATTGTCTCTCTCATACATGTATGAAGATGTGAATTTCGTGTCAATATACATCATCTATAATCAGAGATATGATAAATTCTGGTATAATGGTATATTAAGAATTGTAATGCAAAAATAAAGGAAAAGAAAACATTGTCTCTCTCCACCCATTCCATGTACTTTGACATTATTTCTACTATCATTTTTTAAAGGTTGGTGTGGAGTCTTTGGAATATATTCTCAATTATGATACTCCTGTCTCATTTGATCCATACAACATATGTTCATTGTCCTCACATCAGTTGAGACTTTCCTGGGCCTAGTGGTCTTGCCTTTTTACAGGATATGTATAATTATATGTTATGGTATGATGAGACTCTTTAAAATTCTAAATTGATATTTTTGTTTTAGCTGACTATATGACCATTTTGACTAAATCATGTTGTTTTGACATTGCATTCTTCCCTCCCTGGGATCATATTGTTGCAAGGGTATCTAAGAATTGAGCCTGAATTGCAGGGGGATTTTTCCCAACTCATTCCTTTCCACAACCTTCCCATTCTGAATGGCTCCTCAGGCCTTCCTTTCTGGTCTTCTGGCAACAAAACCGGGAATTCAGGTTCCCTGCATTTCTGTGACAAAGGACAAGGCCACACCAAGTTCTAAGAAGACACAGTAACAAAAGTAGTAGAATTATGTGACCCTGTCTTGGGGAATCAGCTCTTCAAATGAAAAAGGAAAGCCCCATGGTTTCCACTGCCTCTTCTGGGACCACAGAAGAATTTCCCAGGGCAGGATCAAGTAGAATGGAGAAGAAAAAATGTGCACATGCTAAAGTTTGTCAGAGCATAAGGAATTCCCTTTTTCCTCTTGGAGACACAAGAGTGGGGCTTATTCTGGAATCTTTCTGTCCACAGGTTGGTGTCCTGTTCAGGTCCCAGGAACTTTAAGAGCAGGCCTGGGATTCAATGTAGATGTAGAAAACTCTCTGCTATTTTGGTGTTTTTACTGTGCTGATGGTTCCTTCAGTCTGTTTCTGTGATTTGTTTTCCTAGGTGACCACAAATATCTTCCATAAATACTGTGTGAGCTTTATTTGCTGGATTCAGTCTGAAAAGATAGTGTGAGCTTAATGCACTCTAAATGAAATCTGAAAGCATCAATGATATTTTTATGTAGGAAATTAAATAACTCTGAACCAGAGGCTATGAAAAACACAGAAATCAATTTTAAAAGTACTTTCAGAAAAATGAATGGAGAGCTTGTTTGGAAGTTCTAGTAGGGGAGCTCAGCTACTGGTATATCCTTGACCGAAGATCACTCCTCCTCTATTGGAGAAGGTCATCCTCATTGTGGGAAAAAAAGAGTACAAGTATAATGGCATAATTTGGCATGGATATACTTTATACAGAGTTACAAAAAATTGTTCTGTATATGGGTAATAATGAGTGTAATGCATTCCACTACTGTCATGTATTTAAAAAATAAATAAATAAAAGAAAAGAAAAGAAAATGAATGGAGAACAATTAGTCACACATGTGCTGATTTTTAAATTTTTTAATTTCTTTTAGTTATTTCTACATGACAGTAGAATACATTTATGCAATTTGATATATCAAATAAATAGGATATAATTTTTCATTTTTCTCAGTGTACATGTTGTGGAATCATATTGGTCATGCCATCATCTCTCTCTCTCTCTCTCTCTCTCTCTCTCTCTATATATATATATATATATATATATATATATACACACACACACACACACACACACACACACACACACACACATGAATTAGCACCCGAATATTACAGAAAACATTTTTCATTTGGATTTTGGGGATTGGCTTAATTCTCTTAGCATGACATTCTCCAACTCCATCCAATTACTGTCAAAGACCATAATTTCACTCTTCTTTAAAGTTGAGTAATATTCCATTGAACAAATATACCGCATTTCTTTATCCATTCATCTATTGAAAGTTTCCTAGGTTGGTTCCATAGTTTAGGTACTGTGAATTGAACTGATATAAACATTAACATGGCAGCATTATTGTAGAATAATGATTTTAAGTCCTTTGGGTATAAAGGAGTAGTAAAATAGCTTGTCAAACAGTGTTTCCATTCCAAGTTTTCCTGAGGAATCTCCATACTACTTTCCATAGTATTTGCACCACTTTGTAGTCCCACCAGCAATGTGAGTGTACCTTTTTCCCCACATCCTTGCCAACATTTCTTGTTGCCTTTATTCTTGATGATTGCCACTCTGACAGGAGGGAGAGGAAATATTAATTTGGTTTTGATTTGCAAGTCCAATATCATTAAATAGAGAAACATTGAAAGAATTCCTCTTAAAAACTGGAACAAATAAGGATGTACTCTTCCACTATTTCTATTCAACACAATCCTTGAAATTCTAGCCAAACCAATTAGACAAAAGAAAGAAATTAAAGGTATACAAATAGGTAAAGAAAGAAACTATCACTCTTTTCTTTTTTTCTGATTTTTTTCTTTTTTATTTCACTTCAATTATTAAAAAAAATTTTATTTATTTTTTTTAGTCATACATGACAGTAGAATACATTTTGATATATAATACATACATGGAATGTACATACATCAATCATATTGCTTATTCTATTCTGCTGCTCTTCCTATCCTTCCTACTCCTCCTCTCCTCTCCCATCCTTTCTCTCTATCCAATCTAATGTGACACACTTTTTTTTCTTTTTCTTATTACAACATCATATATGTAATCTGTATAACAAGGAGGTACTCCTTCCATCTTCTGTGCAACTCC